GTGTAAGTGTGGGTATGTTTGTGTGCCACTTGTGCCAGAAAGCAGCTGAATAGTTTTGCAAGAGGCATTTAATTGCTATCTTGCGTGTTAATCAAACTGACAAACCTATCTGAATTTTGAGGCTGGGAAATGTCAAAACTGTGTTATGCGCTTCATGCTCAAACTTTCCGCGGGGATTTGATAAGTGAACTTTGGAAATCCAACTTTTTGCAGGCAAAACGAATAATATGCTTTTCGCATTAAACACGTAAAGAATACGTGAAAAGTAAAATTTATGCTTTTTTTTATCTAAACTGAAAAAAAATGTCAGCGGAAAGAGACTGACCGAAATATTTTAAGTGGATTTTTTTGTTAAACCAAATAGGTAAAAAAAAATGGTAACAGTAGTTTTGGTACACACACACACACTGTTTCCTGAGCGATTTTGCACATTTTTCATTTTGTTTGACCATCTTTTCAACATTCCACACTTTCCGTAAATGGAAATTCACCTGCAGTAGTTCAGTGGTTCTGTTCGAATATCAAAACTGATCGTATCGAAATGAAGAAAAAGTTGCACGAGAAAACGAGATAGAAAAACCTCATGTTGTCCTGTGATTAGTCTGTTTGTGTTGCATACTTCCCGCTTTTTGTTGTTGTTGCATTCAAAACTGGGTAACAAAACTTTGACTGTAAAATATCCCCATTGTTGTTTCGTCCGGTTAATGTACAGAAACTTTATGTGCTTTTTCTCATTCTCTTTTGATGCGACCCATGCCATGAATCCAACTATTTACAACGGGAACGGGGAGGATGTTTTCTAATTAAAAATTATGGACATTTACTGGTTGCAACTTTATGATTGTGTTTATTTTATCGAAAATTCCATGGGAATAATTTATGACACCATTGTCTTTTGTGTCATGTCCCTTTGAAAGCTTTATTGCCCTCGTTGCCATTGTAAAGTTTGCACAATAACTCGATGTGACAGTGCCACTATTCACCGCCTGCAGATACGGAATTCAGGTGGATGCATCCAACTAAAATGAAACGCATTGCAAGCGATAGAAAAGAACGAACGTGGAAAACAGATTAAAAAAAAATAATAGCGTTGCACTCCATTACAACCATCGACACATTATCGAGTCGGGCATGTTGCGACCAAAAATAGCACAGAATTTATTACGCTTTGCCATTAGACTGCATAATAAAGTAGGTAATTTTAATCAGATGAATGTAAATTAGGTTGGGTTACTTTTAATGCTCGAAATCTGTTACCTCACGTAGTGTTATTGAAATGATAATTTTGCGTCGGTGATTAAATTAATGTAGTTCCACCGCAAACCTCGTTGCAGTCGAGACGAATTAAGCTCGAGCAAATGGCTACTTTTCAGTCACCGCACGAAAAAGTTAAGTGAATTTAAAGAAGATTTAATCTAAAAACGATAGTAGCTTCATTTTTTCTCGCTCTATCTCTATCTTGGAATAAAATATTGATAAAACAGTGTGTGCGGTGACTATCTTGTGCAGACAACACGAACGATGTGCTAATTTCCGAAAATCATCGGCCAAATTGCACGTTGGGGCTAGAGGATTTTTTCTCTTCGCATTCCGTATGAAAAGGACAGCAGCAAGAGAAAGAGAAAGAAATAAACTAGAAAAAGATCGATGTCATTCTGCTGGAACAGAACACGCGTCTATTTTTTGTGTCATTTGTCAGCACATTTTTCGTACTTCTGTTGCTAACAGAATGTAAACATGATGCAGCATTCACCGTAATGGTCATGGTTTGAGTTTTGTCGTTCATTCTTATCAATTTGAATCGGGAGACTGTCCTTTCAATGTGTTCTTATCATCGCCATCGATCGTCCAACTCGTCCGAACTAATTCAGTTGAACACGTGGGCAACAATCACTTTGAACTTTTTGGGAGCGCGATTTAGCGTCGTAATTAAACTGATTCAAAAGAAAAGAAAGAAAGAAAGGCTTTTAATTTGTACGAAACCTTTTTAAAAATGTGATTGGAATCATGTTTCAATTACTCTGAACGGGCGATAGAGTTAGAAAAAGGGAAAGAGAGATATTTCACGTCAATGAACCACTTATCCTTCAACAGGAGTGCTTCAGTTCTTTTGAAATAAAAAAAGGGAACAATGCCAGAGCGTTCGTGCTTTTTTTTTGCCGAGTGTAAAGTGTATTCATCCCAAAAAATAAATAAAATGGTGCACCGGTTAACTCCTTTTAATTACGTATGCAATCCATCGTCGGGCGAGCCAAAGGATTTCTGCTGGATTATGTACTAATTTTGGGATGCCCCGTGTATGGGGATAAGTTAGTTCTTCATATTTATAATCATGCAACTATTTCACATTGCGTTCGTCTTTTGAGCTAGACATTTAATGAGAGGACAGTGGAACGTCGCAAGCAAAAAAAGGCAGCTAAACAAGTGTTATGGAGACAGATGTAGAGCATAACTAATTTGAATGGGCTTTCAATGGCACATACACACACCCAAAGCTTATTTTACGAGTAGCATAAATACAGAGAGATAAAGAGAGGGAGAGAAAGAAAGATAGAAAGAGAACGAAGGCAACGACAGAAAATTCTTTTATGTGCCTGGATTACCAACGATGGAAGAGAAGGTGGGTATGCTTAATTGAGTTTCTTTCCGACAAACTGCCAAGTAATAAATACCATTAACCATAGCATCTGTCCGTGTAGCAGTATGAGCGCCATGGAAATTTCATTGACACCGTTGCATGATGCGCACCATCTCATTGACAAAGAATGTGAGTGCAAAAGCGAGATCGGGGGACCATAACGATAACGGACACAAGGGCAATATTGCAAAAGTACACTGAAAAAAATGAGTGAGAGAAAGACCGAAAAAAAGAAAGTTGAGAGAGTAAAAAACCGTACGGATTCCATTTTTCCGTTTCATTCTCTTTGTCCACATCATTGTTCTTTTTCTCTTTCATAAGTGTCGCCTATTTGCTACTTCTATGATAACAGATCCACTTTGTCGTTTTTCTAACAACAAAAAATATGCACCATTCCAACGGAACGCCAAGGTAAAAACGGACACAAAAAAAGCAGAACTTACATTCTACCTCGAATCGACATCGTCTCGTGTTTCATTTTTATCTTCTATAATCCCGTTTTCGCATCGTGTATGAGTAAGTGTGTGTGTGTGTGTGTGTATCATTTTTTGCCTTTCTTCTCGTTTTCAACTTTTATGCATGGTTTATGTGAGCTGCTGTGGTTAATTTACTTAGCTTTGTACGGGATACTGTTGAAACAAAAAAACGCATTTTTTTCATGCGACGCATCTTTCTAGTCTCGCAGTGACTCTAGATCACTGGAGTAATTTTTTTTGTCTCTCTTCTAATCCATTTGTGCATACATATATACATCCGTGTTGGTCATTTGTCATGCTTATCTTGTGCCATTTGTTTTGTATGATTAGGCGTGTAGGCCTATTTCGATTTTATGAAACTTTCCACCGAGTCATTGTGATTTTGATGATCAGAAAATTAATTGTAAGCCTCGAGTCGTGGCCCTCAACACACACAGAAAATATCAGACACAGCGATATCATTTCGCAAATGAACCGTCCGCTTTTGAGATCATAACAATAGTCCAATTGAAATGATAGGCCAATCGAATTACTGAATAAATTGGCACAAAATATTTTGCGGTCACTTCCGCACCCAACCGAATACGCTCAACAATAATGAGAATGGAATGTCAAGAATAGATCTTGCATAGCAGCACCACTGTACTCTTCTCTCTTTTCGTGCCTATGTCTCCGTTCATTTTTTTTTTCTCTGTCGCACAATCGAAATGTAAGTAGAACACACGACAAGCGGCGAGATGTAAACTTTTCAAAATTGCTGTAGCAGAAAATAAGAAAAGACAAAAAATATGCGAATTGTGACGGCATTATCGTCGGTGTGTGTGTGTGTGTCAACATTTTTCCTTTTTTCCTCTTTCTCGTTTCGGTGTTTTTTGTGTTTGTGATTTTGCGTGTTAGATTGTTGTATATTTTGGTACATGGTTGTCATATTTTATCCAACGACGTCTATAGTTTGTTTGTTTGCCATCATCTGGAAAATTACTGTAACTTGGACAACAACAAAAGACAGGCGGAAAGGTTGAGAGAGACAGAGAAATAAACACAAACAAAATGAACGAACCGAATTCAACAAGATGAAATTTAATTTTCTAATTTCCGCTTTTGATTCTTTTTTATTTATCTTGTCGTTCTTGCAGAAAGAAAATGCTCTTGTCGTGTTTTTTCTTCGTTTTCGGTTTGTGTGTGTCTTTGTTTTAACATCGGTCTGTTCTGCTTCGTCACGCTAAATGTGTAAGACATACACACACACATAGCATATGGCTCTTGGCACGGTTTGCTAAGCACAATTTTTATGTCCCTCTTTTATACACTACCGTCAGGACACTGTTGTTACCCATACTAATTTTGCGTATTTTTTTTTCTCTTTGGCTCTGTCGATAAGTGCCTGTGCACTTTTTTTCCCTTTTCGATAACACTGATTCTTTCTTTCTTCATTCAATATTGATTGGTCGAATATCAGCTCAAAATTGGACATGACACATCCAATGAATAAAATGCAGCAAAAAGTCGACGAAGTTGAGATTCATCTTGAAAACTGTCTGACACGAATTTCGAAGAGTGCGCCGGAATTATTTCCGATTATTGATTCATTTATTCATGCCATTCACGTTTCCAACTGATTTTATCGAAAACCAGATTCGGAGAATCGGTTCGTGTTTACGAACTTTGACTCGCGCTCTCAATCGAAATAATTACTTAAGCTGAATATACAAATTCGTTCGTCGTTGAACTCAAACTGCTTGTTTTCTTCGAACTCCCACCCTCGCAACGGCGCGCGAAAAAACAATATTCAGAAAATGTAGCACAAACTCTTATGCAGAAATTCATTTTGGAATTCTTACACATAAACAAAAAAAAAACAGTAAGTAAAATGTTGAAATGCTTACTTTTCCGTGCTCAACAAACCAACCGATTCACTTGAGTGCGCACAAAATCTACTTAAAATTCAGAAGATTCCTCGGCACAACTTGTTTTGGAAATATCTTTTTTTTTTTGCAACTGATTTCACAATCGGATATTATAATTCAAGTTAATAAAATGTTGCTTGTAACCAATTTCTTTAACGAAAAAAACTTTTCTTCTTTTTTGGACTTTTGGATTTTAAATTTTCTTGTAACTTCACTTCGAATTTATGTCTGCGGAACAGAAACGATAGTATCTTACCGTATTCTTATTTAACAAACTTTACCGTATCAATGTTATCTCGGTTTCAAACTCACACTAACTGGCGTACGTTTTTCTTGATCAGAAACTGAATAAATTCTAGCTTTGATTTTTTTTCATTAAATATGGCCATTTGAAAATGGCTCAATCGCTTAAATCGAATAGTGATGTTCCAAGCATTTTTGCCACGTTGATTGTGTTTTCCCAATGATGATGGACTGAATTTGGAGTTAACCCCGTTTTGAAGTGCACGGTGTGTTGGATAACTTGACAACACATCTTATCTGGGCGGCGTATTCAGCCCCACTGATTATGTTGATGCGAGTTCACTGCTTTCATTCGATATCATGTGGATCGTGTGTATTCCGTAGACAAACTGACGACGGCAAGTATGCACACCAACCAGCCAGCCAGCCAGTCAGCCAGCACTACACTATCCAACACGACAAAGGATATATGCTGAATGTGCACGGTGCCGAAAAAAAAGCTTACACGGTATTTGTATTCACAGGCAAGCAACATCTGCTCAATGGTTGTGGGCTTCTGTTGCTGTCGTTGCTGCTGCTGCTGTTGGTGCGAGCCGATGACGCCACCGCGCTTTCACCCAACCGCTTATCAGCCAGCTACAAACGCGAATCGGCGTTCTGCGTTATCACGCACATCGCTTTCAATTGGGGTAGCACCATAACAGTAGCACATGGCTTCAATGAATTTTGCTTATAACAGCTAACTCTACGATCCAACGAAGGATTTTCTGTTACGGCTACGAATTGTTGAATTCAGCACTGGAAATGGGCGAAGGGGTAAAGAGCATGCGCAGGTGAACTCGAAGGAGAACCTCGATGTGAAGGAATATTCTCCACAGAGAATCTGTGGACATTTTTGATCAAAACTGATGTGAAACACTGAAGTAGTTGAGGACGTGAATAATTCCATTCAATGAGAATCTTAAACATTATTTTTCATTGTTATTATCGAAAAGAAGACAAATCAAACTAATCGGCAGGTCTTCGTCCAAACACTATCCGGTGTTTTCACAGAGCTTTCTATAAAAATTTATTCACGAAACATCATATCGGTTTACAATTCAATTCATAAAAACAATCTCAATCTACCTAAACTTAAACGTAAAACATACGAATTCGAACGTTATTCTGTTTTAAACAAAGATTGAAGTAATACAAGTTTAGTTTCAAGCTAAAAACAATAAAGTCTCAGTTCTACTTAACTTTTATATAAGACAAGAATATAAACCGAATTACATATTTTCATTTTGTTTTCTTTGTTTTTTTTTCTCTTCTTTTTAAATACAGAACCGTTGCTTGCTGCGAATTAATTAATTCTTAGATGCTAAGATGAGTGAGAGTAATTTCTTCATTTATTTCTCGAATCTCGTTGTTGGTTTTTTTTTTGTTTGTGTGTGTAAATGAGTGCGTATAGAACGATTTTTTTTTTATTTGGTTTGAATTAGCATATTTTTTCTCGTCTTCCGCGATTTTGTTAATTTATGTGACAATCTGGAAAATATCAATTCGGTTTGAGTCAACAATTTCGATTGCTTTTGTTTTTCTTTCGTTTCGTTCTATTTCATTACGATGATGCGTAGAAGTATTTTTGTGCGGTTGGTATTTGTGTGTACCCATACGACTTCGCCGCTGACAATGACGGTTGATATAATTGCGATGTTGCATACTGGTAGTTTGGATTTGGGGCTTGAGCTGCTGCTGCTGCTGCGATGGCTTGACTAGCACTGTGTTGGAACTGAGAAACGAATTGTGGTGTCGATGATGTCGCACTTATTGGAGCATATGCCACTTTTGGTGCGTATGCTGATGCCTGGGTATAGTAACCCGTTGGCTGGGCCAAGGTATACTAGAAGAAATAGGAAAAACATGTGAGCAAATGATGTGAATCGAATTGGTTCGATTGTTTGTTATTCGTTGTTGATTGTGTCTTACTTTTACTGGAGCGCCTCCGGTTGGTTGGATATATGCGTTTGTATAAGCTGACGAAGCCGTTGCCGGTGTTGGAGGTACAATCGGACGATATGTTGCTTGAGTATATGTTGGATAAGCCACTAGTTTCTGTGCAGTTGCATAATTCAATCCAGCATTTTGGTATGAAACTATATCGATGACAAACACAGCAAATGGTTCAAATCGAATCGAAATGCACACATTTCAAAATTTATTACAAAAAATCTCAATAAGAAAGATGCGTCAAATTATATCAAATCTTAGATTAAAAAGTGGTATAAAATTATTCATTAAACAAAGAAAGAAATCTTCAAAAGTGATAAATGGTAAGAAGAATCCTTTTCAATAACCAAAAACGAATGGAAATCTTCGAAAAAAGTGCTCATATTTACAACAATCGTTACTTAATCATCTTTTGTATATGCTGAAATGCGAATGTAATGATGATTCTTACGGAATGTGGGTGTTTGTTGGTATGCTTGGCTTGCTGGTGCGGCCGAATAGTAGGCAGCAGCTGTTGGCGTGACCACGGTCGTTCCAATTTTGGGTACACTGGGCAAAATCGGTGTTGCTGTCGTGTATGTGTATGGTTGAGCAGTGGCTGGAGCGCCAACCGATTGTGGAATAGCATAGCCCAGTTGCTGTAATTGTGATGAAGTCAAATAGATGCCATTCGAGGATGCTGTGTACGGGATGATTTGACCCTGCTGCAGCGAAGCGGCAGGTAATTGAGCAGAGGCAGCATTATTTGTTGTTGCCGTTGAGTAACTGTTGGGATTTGTATAGGCACTCGTTGTGTACGGACTGGCAATACCAACGGGTGAATATACATATGGATTTGGTTGTGTGGCTGCAATAGCCAATTGGTATTGTTGGTTGGGTGCAATCGCGTAAGCAACCTATTGAAATGCAAATTATCGATAACATTTTAAATATTTCACTTTCGAGTCCATTGGGTGTGAGTGTTCGCGTTGGTTTCGAATTGGTTCGGTTCACTGTATACATTACCTTTGGCGTTGTTGAAGCATATTGCACCGTTGTCTGAGGTTGTGCAGAATTCGATGTGTACGACAGTTTAATCGTTCCAACACCACTTGGAGTCACGTATTGTGATGGTGCACGCACATAGAAAATCTTTATAAAACGAGAGAGAGAGAGAGAAAGAGAAAAAGAGAGGGAAAAAAGCAACAACGTACAAAATTAGGAACATAAAAATTAAATGGTGAATTCGTTTTTTTTTCGCTCTCCATTGGAAACTTTTGCTAAACGCAGCACGATCTTTTCAATTTCATTATCGATTCATGCGATGAGCACATGTGTGTATCATTAATGGTTTGAGCGTTCGTTATTGTGTTCATTGAACAATTGATTGCAACAGAGAGAAAGAGAGCATTGCAGAAAAAAAAAACTGAGTTTGATTTTCTAATGCATCAGTTATGGACCTTTCTTATGATTTCATGCATACATTTCACTTTCCATGTTTGAGTCGATCTGTAGTAGAGAGAAGGGAAAAAAATAAACCATGCCATGCAGCTAATGCAATCACGAAGCGCAACGAATTGAGCGAAAAATCTCCAAAGTGTTTTCGGGACAACGCATTTCGTGCCTACATTTCATGCGTGTAATGTGTGCATTGTTTTCATATTTGGGCCTTTTGTATCGCTTGCGGGTCGATTCATTTGAAATTCAATAGATTCGAGTTTTATGAACTTCTAAAAATGCATTTTGGCAAGAATTGTGTGATTTTTGTTGTGGTTTTGTCTTTCTTTTCACACAGAAATGGACCACAACCATTGAGTAACTGGAAAATGTTAAAGTTGAATAACTTTTTGCAGCCATATAAACGATATTCAACCAATATAGAGTTCATCACATACACACACACACAGTCATATTATGTCGGCGATAATGGAAAATCTGTTGTTTTTTCTATTTATTTATATATTTTTTTGAATCGGCAAAGAAAGCCATGGCAACCGGTTTATGGTGCAATTGCATCGATTCTGCATCGCTAAACGTCGTCGCGCAACACGAAATTGTATAATGTTTTACACGTTTAAGTTCATCGAGTGTCTATGCGAGATGTGATGTATAGCAAACCAGTTATTTCTATTACGTTCGATAAATGCTATCGTCTGTGGCATGCTGCAGCAGCCGCACAACAGGAGATCAGCACGTGAATTTGCGTACCTCCAATCGACTTCATTTTTCATGTAATACACGCAACACGCGATGATATTTATCAGTTTGTACCGATTACGGAATATGTGAATTTCATATTGATTTGTGATGACAAGGTTATTGACTCTCGTCTGTCTGTGCACTGTGCACACAACGGCTGTGTGTGTGTGTTTGTTTGTATATTATTTTATCTCCACTACTTGCCGTGTACGAAAACTCATTTTCGTTCAGAAAAAATAGGTGCATTTAATCGCGCTAAATGAAAGTTCGATGCAAACGATTTGGAGTAGTTTTTTTGTGTGTGTGTTCAAACACGATGCAATGTTTCGTTGCTGTTGTTGTATTTCAACAAGAACTGATATGAGAAAATTGCCGTAATCAAGACAAATGAGAAGCGCAATTTGTGAATAAAAGAACACTTTGGCTTCATGTTTGCTTTTCATTCATGATTCAATTCGTTTCATTAGCCGAATGCTTTGAGTTATCACGTCATTTTGATTGTGAACAGTGACCAAGAGACTTCGTAAGTAATTCCATTCGATTGACGCTCTCTCCGTCTCTTTCTCTCCAATGAAAATGTAATTCAATGTGACGCGCCTCATTCATCTACTGTATTCTTTGTTGCACAACTATTTCCATCAAGATAAATAATTGCAAGCGAATTGAATGACCTATGAGTGTGTATTTGCAATACCCTGAGCGAAAAATCGATTCCGATCGACGATCCCACGCGCTGCATTCAAACGATTAAATTGAAAATATTGCGGCCATTCAAATAATTATTCCATTCTCGGGATGGTACAAATTTCGAGTTCAATACCTGTGGATTGTTGGTGGATGATTGTGGGAGCAAAGCTGCTGCATAAAGTCCTCCGAATTGTCCGAATTGTCCAAATTGTCCGAATGTTGGTGAAAAGAATTGTTGGAAACTGTTTGGTGTATTGAAACTAATCACACCACTTGATCCCGAACCACTGTTTGTACCTACACAAAAAGTGGAAATGTCGTTCCAGCACAAAAATGGAAGAAAAAAATGCCACCAAAAATCGTTTTAACGATTCACATGCAACTTACCAACATCAACCGGTGAGCTCTGCCCTTGGTTTTCATTGTTGGTGGCTGTGGACGTTGTTGCTACGGCCGCACCACGTTTTGCCACTTCCGATTCAGCTGCGATATTATCTTGAATTGGTTGACTATAAATATGATTGCTCTCGGCTGCAACAAATCCACCTTCACTTGATTGCTCTTTTGATGCACAAATAATCGCAAATATCGATGCGAAGAGTATAATTTGTTTCTGTGTGTGTGTCAAAAGAAACAAATATGAAAAGTTAAAAAACATGCTCTCAAATCTCACTTCATAGAGAGGGAAAAAATGTTCATGGGCGCGCTCATAAAAGTATAATGATCGAACATTTAATCAAAAAACATCCGATTTCAATTGGTTCTAGGGAATTTAATCGCGATGGTGGCAATAAATGTTTGTGATTGAAAATATTTAATGTGATACACTGTGTTTAACTGATATCGATAGAGAGAGAGAGAGAGAGAGAGCACGCGAGCGCTTGGTTCTCTCGATGGGCTTTATCGGATTAATTTGTAATTATTCCATTAGGCCACCGAATAAAAACCGAGTCAATATTACCGGAACGGTAAACCACACGAATATCCATTGAGTAATTATTATTTGATTTTACGACCGCTTGCGTTCGCATTAAAAACCGTGGCCAACATGTAAAGTTTACCAATTGCATCGTGCACGTATTCCCAATTCCACCATACGAATGAGATAAACTGTGTTATCGCTCTAGTGTTGCGATACAACGAGGGAAAATATCAGAATGAAAAATTTAAACATGAACGAGGGAGGCACATACCGTGAACATCATAATTGTTTTTGTATGTGCTTTGGTTTAGTTTTTAACTCTCTTTGTTGTGGGTTTTCACTGTTTGCTCGATTTTCTCGCAAATTCCGCACTATTCTCTTCTCTTCTTCAGATTTTTTTTTTTATTTCAACTCTCAATTTTCACTCGCATGTACTAATTCACTTTTCATTCTAAGCTCGATGAGTGTATGTTGCATCTGCCTTCACCTCCTTTCCGTTCTCCGTTCTCCGTTCTCCTTCTTCTTCACACAACTATTTTCACTTTTGAATTCTAAAACTTTGTAAAACAGAAATAAAACATAATTAGTGCAAGCAATTAACGAACGAAACCTTTTTTCTCTGGCAAAAGATAAACTCAAACACATCAAAGCACAAACTATCAACGAGACAAAACGAAAGCAAAAATTGTTTGAAAAACTGACAATTTTCCAAACGATTTCTGGTCACTCGCATAAAAACCAGGAATATTTAATTAGACATTTTGTAAAATTGGTTGTTGTTCTTATCCATGAACACTCTCACACCCACACCACGCGCACAATTTCAATGCACAATAGAAACTCGCTCACAAAAATATGCGGACGCACGAAAAGTTTTTGCAAAATTTTCCTATTAATTTTTTCTTCTCGGTTTGATTTGATTTGTTTCGTGTGGCTTTGTGTGACATAAGACACTCACTTGTTGCGTTGCACTTGGCAGAGACAGTGGAAAAATATTTTTTTTTTCTGTAAATACCGAATGAAATGCACACGATGCACTGAAAGTGAAATTTTCACGTTGCCTGTTTATATATAGCGTTTGGTTACAGTTGCCCTAACACTGTCTAAGCGAGCGAAATTCACGTGTATGTGTATGTGCAATTTGACTGGTTAAAAGTCGAGCAAGAGTATTTTTCATTCGATTTTATGTATCGTTTTTCTTTGTTTTCTTTTGCCTTCTCTTACTCAGCGCTCGCATCTCCCCAACACAACACAACAACGCATCTGAGAAATTGGCTTTCATCGTTTTCGGTTGTACTAGTAACTTTGTTTTTTCTCTCTCCACGTCTCTCTGCAGAATGCAAGTGAAGTTAATGATGCAGATTGCTTGAGAGTTTCAAGGTAGTACCGGCGTGAATTAGAAATTTTTCAGAAACATTCAATTTCGCACTGTAATTAAACCTCTGGTGTGAGTGTTTGTGTATGCATAAGTGTGGGGATCGTTGCAATCAAGCATCACTATTTTGCGAATTTCTTTCGAGATCTGCTACACTGAAACACGCTAAACAGAAGGGAAAAAATATTGCATTTGCTTCGCCGATAAACGGCATAGTATTCGATTTCTTTTCTTTTTCTTTTTTTTCTGTTCGCCCTTTTTTTATCTCTCGCATCGCCGACCGAAAACAGAGATGAAAGAGAAGAAAGAAAAAAACCAACGAACGAACAAACTTATGGATAATTTTTTTTGGTGGAATTACATCGAACATCTGTGTTACATCGGTGTTTGGAATAAATTGGATTTCCATTGAAGATGTTTCGTTGCAAGTGCACAGTGTGTGCACAACTGCACATTGCCGTTGGAGCGGGTGTGCGCTCTCGCTGTGTGGTAAGATTTCGACACAGATTAATGGTTGAATGATTCGGAGAATGACATTGCACCGTGACCGCAGATAGTCGATTCGCCTTCGCAGTAGTACACAATATGCTTTTTTTAGCGCGCCCTCACACACACAGGGACCGAAAAAAAAACTTTAGTTTGCAATAGAGCTCAAATATTTGCTCTTCTTGATGAATTATATTATTATCATAAGTTTGTTGTGTTAAGTAATTGTGATAACATCATGTTTAGTTGATTGGATTTTCTTGCAGTTCTGTTTTCACATGCTTGATCTTGATTACATGGTCCAATGCGTCCGTATCATCATGATTTTTCTCCGAAACAAACAAGAATCTCATCTCGGTGCTACTACTGCTGTAGCTGCGCTTCTGATAATGAGTGCACGATGGGGATATATGTATGCAAAGTGATCGTAGTGTGAGTGGGTTTTTATCAGCAAAAAATGGTTTATTGCTCGCCGCATGTTCGTGCGCTCCCGCGCGCTCGTTTTTCATTTTTCTTCACTCCAATTTTGATGAATTCATCGGTTTTTTTCGTCGAGATTTGCGATTCAGATTAACGTGATTAAATGCATAATTTGCATTAATTGCCCCGCATCGATATTCCATTTCGGAGTTGAATGGGCGATCAAGCGCGAAAAATGGTGTAGTGAAAAGGAAAACTTGATTGACAAATGAGAGAGCTCTTTGCAAGGGTTTTTGGACGAACGAAAATTGCATTTGCACACATAATTTCGAAATTTTTACGATTTGCCCATTAAAACCATGCAGACAGACATTGAGCTCATTATCATTATTTCTGTACGAGTGAAAGTGCTACGGTCGAAGCCAATTTCATTTTCATTTCGTTTCGTTTGTTTTTCACTGAAAAATTCATCTGCCAAAACAGAATAGAATTCGAATGTGGCGACGGCCCTATCGGTCCGTGTAATTGTCTCTCAATGGGAAATTATCTATGCGCCGTCGTCAACAACACTTCCGACTGACTTCTTTTACTCCATCCGGTCATCAAATCGAATCGAAAGAAGAAAAACACAGTTATTAATATAAATTTCACGGGTAATTAGAGAGCATTTAAATTAGTCATGATCTTAAAAACCTGACCCAAGGTGCACATACACGGATACACACACACACACACACACACACGTGTGCACTTGCAATGGCATCAATTCCGGGTGTAATCATCATTTGATCGGCGTGTAATTATTATTTGCAGCTCGATGTGCACATAACGGCAATCACACTTTTCGATCACTTCCATTCATCCATTCATTCATTCAAAGCAGCCATACACACAATTATCTGTGATTATTTTTTCTTTCGAAAATAAAAATTATTAAATAAATCGCATTCGGTCCGCTGCAGCACAAAATGTATACACGAAACAAGAGGTGGTTTTACTGGCTGACATTAAACATTTCAAAACATTGACGCAGAGCCGAAGAGTGTCTAATGCATAATTAAATCAAACAGGGAAATCAATTGAATTCGTTTTTCGTAGCGATTGATACTTGATTCCAGCCATGTTCACTGGAGCAACAATCTTTCTATTAGTCTACTTATAATAGAAGAAGAAGACGGCGAAAAAAACAATCATTGAGCACTCACTTTCGTTATGTACAATCACATTATTTTGCGTTCGCTCGTTCACGCGTACGCTCAATCCAGTTTTCGTGCGAACAACACTCTTGAATACACAAATGCACGGGCACACACACAATCGAAAATGCTGAAACGGAAGACAAACGTATGCAAATGCACGGAAAATCGTTTGCACTTCTACAAATCAAGTTCGACTCGCTATACAGACCTCGTAATATACGATCGCAACATTTTCGCAGTGCCATTTTGTCATTTGAATCAATATCTCTCTGCTTAGGTTGCATGATTCGCCACTCAGACAAATTTAATGTAAATAGCAAGCAAGATTAATGCATGAGATTATATCGATGAATCGAGAAAAGAAAAAAAGCTGTAAATGCAAAGAGTGTCTTTACTGGATTGGCAATTTACGTGATTGCATATTAGATAAGATCATTGTGATTTTTCTCTCTTTCTTTTCGTCTCTGTCCAAGTCGCAGCGAAATATCGGAAATTGCATCACAGCTAGAAAAAATGATGGAAATAACAGGAATCATGAAAAAAATTTATAGCACGCCACAGTTAAATTATAAACATTCATTTTTTTTCATTACCGGTATTTAAGTGTTACTCATTTCATTTCATTTCCATGAAGAAAAAAAAAAGCGTTCAAATATTTATGGATTTTATTGGCATTCTTGTGGTGAAAAACGGAAAATATTTGTGTGCAACAAGTGCAAAAATCGGAAATAAAAAAAATGCACAAATCCAACGGTGGAATGGTAGTGTTCATTGTGGCCCCGTGTTCTTGGTTGAGTCAGTATGAGTCGAGACGAGACGAAACGAATTGTGTCGTATGTAAAATGTATTGTGTGTAGCGCACAATATGCACGATAAACGCAGTCACCTGTATTAAAAAGGTCAATTAACGTAATAATGTTTCGCAGCTAAACTTGAACCTCTGCTTATGATTGCAATTCATTTTTGCTGGCTTGCTTCGTTTATTCAGTGCGTGGCACTTACCTTTAGGAGCCAGTTAGCGCACGAATGCGAATAGCAAAACTGGTACCGTGAGCACGTCATCGCACGCTAGACGATGCTTTAATTTAGAGCAGCAAATATGAAACAAAAACAAATCCGAATCGCTGCTGCTGCTACAGTTACAGCTACTGATGTTGCTCATGTTGTTGGCACTGCCATTGCTGCTGCTCTTGCATTGGAGACGAAGCAATGCGATGCGAGCAGAGGAAGAGAAGACACGACACGACAAATTGAGCGTGTGGTTCAACGCGAAATGTATCTTTGGCCAAATAACATATCTGCTGTGCTCACGTACACAAATTACAGCAAAATAGAAAATCCAATAACTGACGGCGCAAAGGAAATGCTCACTGTGTATGCTATTGCTGCTGCTGCTGCTGCTACTGATGATGATGATGTAAATTCCATTTGTGTTGCAAATACAAATTGCCACTTAGAAATAGATTCAGTTGCACTTGCCATTTTGCACAAGATGAAAATTGAAAGTCACTACGTCATACTGCCAGTGGTACTGCTGCTGCTACGATTACTCGATGAACATTTGAACAATCGATCGCATCCGCATTATACGTGTGAATACGTGCGAAAGTGTCTTTTAATTGTTTTCTCACTCTTCTTATATGTTTTGATCTACGTGTGTGTGAGCGAGTGAACGTGTCTCACTCTGTGTGTATGTGTGGAAACTCGTGCACTCCGATTTCAAAGGGTAATAATAATTGTGCACACATCGGTTCAAATTGATTGATGGTAAAATGTGTGCAAAATGCATCGTTTAGCCACTATATACGTATATAGTCCGGTCCTCAGTTTTGTTAAGCATCTTTAATCAAGATCGATATTATTATAATTATCTAAAGGTGAAAAATTAATAAGCATCATAAAAATTGTTGTTGGCCTAGCACTGCCCGTTCGAACTCAGTTCGAATAAACAAAAACAACAACAATGAAAAAAAACAACAAAACGCTGCTGTCTTTATGAAAATATCGTATGGCATCGATCAATGAACGTCGAACGTCAAACATCGCTTTTGCAAACTGATAAATGGCTCGAGCGGTTTTTTTCTTCTCCTTCTTGTATTTTTTGTGCGACGAGTATACGTCGCTTGTATGGCCATTTTCTTCGTTTTTCTCTCTTAAAGACACAAACACAAAAAATAGAAATCAATCATAAAAGTGTTAATTGCCATGTAGAGCGGCAGAGTCAACTGTCAACTTTCCGATATCCAAAGCAAACTGTACCTGCTGCTACCAGCTAACAATCACTTTCGAGAGATTCATCACTACACGCACACTTCCAAACTGTTCACTGACCGCTTTATTTCTTCATTGCGTCAAATGATATTTGCATAAATCCGTAATTATTTCGCAGATTGTGACCGACGATAATTTTTATTTCCATTTTATTTTTATATGCTGTTTTTCATCAGCGGTAGGAGTTCGTTCGCCGAGATTTAATTTTGTTTGAAAATCCTCTCTTTTTTTCGTCGTTGTTGTTTACACTAGCCACTGTTAATTTGTACTCATGAATACTGATGCAGTATGACATGACCAAAATACATGATTGAACGCGATTGCCATGATTGTTCATAAAGCGATATGCGGCGATGATAACAATTCAGTTTGCATTTTTAATGAGTTGTAAACCGTTGAGTTCCTAGACACACACAAAAAACAAAATGTGTACAACATTGGACATGACGCATTAATGGTTCGGTTTTTGGTTCATGATTTTATTTAAGCGCTTCCAAAAAAAAAAATTCATACATTTTCGGTTTTGTTAAATAGAAAAAAATGGGGAATTGTCAATTAGAGTATAATTCATCAATGAATAGTACATTTATTCACACGAATCAATCTTCGAGAAAAGTTTTGGCTTTCGAATGGAAAACGAGTAAAGGGTGACTTTGTATGCAAGTCGATGAGTGAGTGTTGGTGTTTGCTTGTTTTATTTTGTTGGTTTTTTTTTTCGAGAGGGCATCGTCTGATCTTCTGTTTTGCTCTTAACGAAGATTTTCCGATCGTTTTAATAAACATATCCATCAGAGTTGTATCGTTGGCTGTAGCCCTGAGTGTATGGCTGTTGCAATCCAATGACTCCGGTACTTGGGTAGCCAGTGTATCCGTTGTAGCCATAATTGTTATTATAGCCGTTATAACCACTGCTCAAATAATTATTGTATCTGTATGGTGAGGTGTAGCCATCATAGTTGTTGTATTGTTGTCGATTATTGTATCCACTTCCATAGCTTTGTTGATAAGCACCAGGATAGCTATTGTAATTGCTGTATGTACCTGCAAAAATATTTGTTTTAATTTCTTTTCCCAAAACTTTTATAAACGAATAAATCGTTAGTGACTGATTTCGCTGTTTATGGCTCATCAGTGCAGATGTGAAAGATGTCAAATCATCTGCAGTCAAACACAAACTGAATTTCCTCTCTCAGTATGCAAATGTGCAAAACAAAAACGATTCCAAATTCTTTTTTTTTCAATTACCTGAGTAGCCAGGATAGCCGAAGTTGCTCAATGGACGATTGTAAGTGTATCCACCGCTTCCGTAAGCTGTGTTAAGCCCTTGATTGTAACCGCCATAGTTTCCATATCCTTGGCCATATCCTTGGCCATATCCTTGGCCATAGCCATAGCTGTATGGGCTGCTAGTACCATCATAGCCTGGAACATTTAACATTATTTTGTTTTTATCTGTTTGATTCGGATGCGAATAAGCCCTTTTTTTTACAAATAAAACTGCCTCTGGTTCCGAAAAAAAATCCGCTCTATTTCAGATACGAGCTTTAGTACAGTTTGATTGTACAAGGCACAAAGCCTCGAAATGTGCACACACATATATCAAAGGGATTTATTTGTCAAAGGGAAAATTGAATTTGTTGCCAAACAAAAAGCACCAATTTCCATATCGGGGACATCGATAGAAGAAAAGGTTGAATTCCATTGATTTCGACAAAAAAAATGCGTCCACATACATACGGTGAATTAATTGCAAATCACATCAAATCATTTCAAATGATTTCCGATTAAAGCTATGGAATTCAAGAGTGCTTCACATACATTGTTACAAAAATTGAGTGGAAAATTACTAAAAATCTGTTGAAATCTGAACACACATATCATTTGGAAAGAGTTTGCATTATTTATTGTCAGTCTCTGTGTTATTGCCAAAGGCTAATAAGCATGGAATTTTCATTTCGCAAAAAAAAAGTTTTATTATTTGTCGTACCATATTGATTGTATGCTTGATTGCCATACAAGCCATTGCCATATGTATTATATCCAGTGCCGTATCCAGTGCCGTATCCACCGCCATATCCACTGCCGTATCCGTAACCCGATCCGAAAATCCCTCGTTTTTCGGTTTTTTTCTCGGCCACTTCTTCTGCTAATGCAACGCTCAACGCGACCAATATCACTGCCTGTTTGATTTTGTATTCAGAAAATCAAAAGAAAAAAATCGGTTATTATTCCATCCAAATGCCTGGGGATCACTATTTCATTTTTCAGATTTAAATTGTGTGAACCAAAAAAAAAAAACTCGTTATTTATTGAAAAATGGAATCTAAATTGAAATATGATTTATCGTAGCACTTGCACAACTTTCATGCAAAAATGAAAGAAAAAACTGCACAACTCTGAACTCACCAACACTTTCATTGTTTCAATCGACTCTGAAAAATTACACTCTCGTAACGAATTAATAAAAACAGACTTGATCAAATTCTAGATGAAGTCCACGGAGACGTTTGGAAGCGTTCCGAGATGATTCTTTGTTGAATACTGATTCGATAGCAGGCAAAGTATTCGTTTTTATAGCCGCCGTTTGCCACAACATCTCACGAAATATTACATATCTAGGCGGGTGTAGTATTTTTTCTTATTTGTACTTGAACTTATGTAAGCGGCAGCAAAGAATAAGTAACTATTTTCATAAGCGAAAGAAGCAAGCACACGAAAAAAAAAATACTGACACACACACGACACGGCCGCAACAGCAGCAGCATGAACAGAATCGCAACACAATACTTTGTGTTAGCATTCACTTTCGGTCGCGTCCAATAAGTACAGAAAAAGAAAAAAAAAAAACAACCAAATCTCGTAAATACAGTCAAAATGATTTGTTAAGAGAGATAATACATGCTGTCCTGCTTCATCGCTCCATAGCCGCCTGCTCCGCAAAAACCGAAAAAAACAAAATTTTGTGCACAAAAATATGTGTGTGTGTGTGTGTGTCTTTTTTGTTCAAATTTAAATAAACAACCATGTAAACAATGCATGTAATTCATTTCGTTTGGCCAGTGAGTGTGTTATTGTCATTTACAGCTTGATTCATTTCAACTCTTTTCGCTCGTCAATTGTTGTCATTTGTGTGTTGCTGCTTCGGCGTATTCGCTTTTGTCTTTTTGATTTCAACGTGTAAATCAGCCGGGCAAACAGGCGATATATATATGTATGTACTATTTTATCGTCACAAACCGCAAAAGCATGCATAAGTTTAGTCATTCTCAAAAAGTTCCATGGTTTCGCTGAATGAGATCAGTTCGGTGCCGTGTTGTAAATAAATGATTAGCCCCGCCGAAAAGCCTGAACAATGGAAGCTTCTAAATCGTTTACATAATCCGGCCGACCCGCAAATAAAACAAGCCAAACCGCACGCAGATTCTATATCAAAATAGAGTGTGATTACAAAGCCGCCGAAATCCAAAAGAATCGGGCGTTAAAAATTGATTAGATCGCATTTTGTGCGGTCAATTATAATGTCAAGAATACGTTTTATTGCAATAAACATAGTTTTCATTGGGAGAGAACGCGCGCGCCAAAAACAAAGCAATTAGTTACACACACACTCTCTCTCTCTCTCTCTCTCTCTCTCTTTCTGGTCTGAATCATTGTCAAAATGGTACGTGTCAAATGGCTTTAGCCAAATATAGCGATTTTATATACATATTGACAATTTATTTTGCTGATAGATGGTTATCTTTGGCTGAATTTAGAAGAGAATGGGCCAATTGTTCAAATGGCCATCAATCATGCGACAATGTCTTTATTCTCCTCTTAATGCAGACATTAACGGGTATTAAAATGGAATTTATAAACAAAATATATCGATAATTCCAAATATTAATTTATCCACTTCCATTTCAATGCGTTGTGATTTAAATTTAATGGTACATTAAAGCGATTACAAACGGGCCGCCACTGCCACCACAGGAATTGTTCTTGAATTTAGAATCTAAACGGCCTTGATTACCAATTTTAAATCACTATTGATTTGTTGAGTAAACAGAAATAGAAAAAATTGAATCATTTGTGTAGTATATACCAAAAAGTCTATTAGAACTGATGTAACCATTGCCGGAATGCTGTTGTCATTTTGAAGTGCTGAATTTAGCTCAGCTTCTGCTAGTTGTGAAACCGATGTATAGGCTATAGCATAGACAACGATTGAAGAAATAAAGAAACAAACAAACAATTACAATGAATAGTGAAATGTTGCCATGCGGAACGTGTTGCGTCTACAGACCGTCATTACCGGCGTAAAAATGCGTTGGGCGCCCAATTTATCGATCTATAACGAAATCAAACGTTCGAATAAAAACAGCACCCATACAATAAGTATTAATGATAATAATCATGGAAGCAACATCATCGAACGTATAAACATCCATTACAATGCGTTGTGATTTGAATTTTGTTGTTGTTTGTGTTTTTTGCTTCGCTTGTGCTTCTATTCTGATCACATCGCATCGCATCTCGAGTGTGAGTGCTAACAAGAAAAAGAGATGTCTCACCACTGTTCGGCAAAGTCGACAGGAACTAATTTACTGTAATATTGTTTTCCGATTTATTGACATAATAACAAGAATGACTTGACTTGTGTGTACGACATTTTGTGATGGCAGATACCATAGGCACACGGGTGTCCGATGCCGCCGCCGCCGTCGTCATCGTCGTTACAAACCAAATGGAAAAAGCATTGAATTCGACTCAGTCATTTGGAATCGAGACAAATTTCATTCACTTGTCAGGCACAATTCCAGTGATAAGTATCACTGACACGATGTTACTTAAAACGAAACCGCCACTTCTCATTGTCTTCATGCCTCATGGAGGCTACTCAATTAATTCTTGTGCTTGCAAACATGAATGTGCGTTTGGATATTAGCACCACATTTCGATGATGTACTTCTCATTTTCTTTCTCCCTCTGGCTCATTTGTCCACTTCGTTTGGCCCAAAATAACAACAACAATAACAAACAAACTCATCATATTTTTTGCAACGATATTGTCTCCAAAAACAACAAATTACTCTTTTATGTGCTTAGCCGCTGTCGTATCTTATCTCATTTGCGAGAGGAGAGCACATTTAAGACGAAATAAATTAATATTCGGTACACGCTCCACATCATCCGCTCCGTATTTTTGGTGCATGCAATGAATCGTTAATTTTCTTTTCATTTTTATCTCGACCACCAAACATCAACTTTTGTTCACACCAATCTCAATGACATATCATCGGTGAACCGTCGCTCATTCTGTCCCATGTAAAAAATGGCAAATATTTTGTATGTGTGTGTGTGTGTGTTTCGGTTTAATTACTTTGTTGACGCAGGTAAATAATAATGTTTCGAATGTCAATGAAAAATTATGCAATCGTCGTAAATGTTTAATGTATTCGTCTTTTTTTGTGTGTTCGAGTTGAAACTTGAAGCTTCTTCGTCCGTGCTATTGATTAAAATGAAAAATTATGACAATTAAAGCAACCAATAAATAACAACAACAGAAAAGAATACTGCGTCATGCGCGATTTACATGGGTATTTCGTGCACAAATGAAGTCATCCTGAGAATCTGTTTGGAAGTAGCTCAAAAAATGTGTGCACTATAAATGGTGCGCAGAAAAAACCTGAAATATTCTGAGAAACCATATTGCAAGCGGTTTTAGTGCCGATTCGCTGTTAGCAATTTACCTGCACAGATGCGATCGAAAATAGTGATGTAGCTGGTGTTATTGACCATGTAAAATATTGAACAATCTGGATGTCATGCTGTTTGCACGAGCATAGCAGCATTTGACAATATTTGCCGAATTTTCAATAATAGAATCGTGGTGCATGCCATTCGTTTAAGTTAGATCAAAGTCATGCAATTTGTGTGGACCTGGACATTCACCGAATTTGGGTTTCGTTTCACAATATCAGTCAAAGCCCCCCAAAAGCTCGTGGCTATTTATTTATTTTGTTCCTTTCAGTAACCGATTCCATTCAATCGCATATCCTTTTGAATAATGTGCAAATTTCTCTCACTGTTCATCGACGTCCAAACACAGTATGTTCAAACACGGTATGTGGCAGGGCGCTGGTGTATTTTGATGATGCGATTGTAATTCAAGCGCACAGCGTGCATCTATTGAATCGATATATATTTTTCATTGGAAAAGCAACCAGCCAGCCATACGATCGTTTCAGTGATGTCAAACATACCATTTACAAAGTGAATACAATGTAAATAATGCTCTGATTTCAGGTTGCCAAAGCAAATACAAAATTGAGCATTTATTTCCAATTCGAATGTACTTGACGATTTTATTGGAAATGACTTGATGAAATGCATAGTGGCAAATATGCAAATTAAACCGATGCGTTTTCCAATTTCAGTCTCTCTCTCTCTCTCTCTCTCTCTCTCTCTCTCTCTCTCTCTCTCT